CAGCCATTTTTCATGTGTCAGCCACAGAACATTTGGCCTCAGAGCACTTGAAATAATTTTTTTTTTTTCTTTTTTTGCTGAATTAATTTACAAATGGTTGGTACCTGCAGATATTCCCTTATTCCCTCATTGAAAGGGAATGGGGTGAAAAGGTCTGAACATGCGAGCGGTGTCTTTGAAAGTATCAGCACTTCCACACAGTTTGGAACAAGTATCAATTATTCACATATGTCATGACACCCAGCTCATAATGTATAGGACCACACGTTATGAATACATCACATGTGACAGACAGATGGGCTAATGTCCAAGGTAATGTATGTGCAGCCTATTCTAGGGCGGGTCTTTTAGTCCAGATATAGACTATTAGTATTCAGAGGTGGCAAGTACTAATCACATTTACTTGAGTACTTCAATTGTCAATAAAAAAAATAAAAATAAAATAACATCTTTACTAGAAAATGAGAAAATGCAAACATTTACACTGAAAATACTTGTCTAAATAATAATAATCAGGTTAAGAATGTACATTTCATCTACACTCATCTGTTTATAACCTATGTGTTGTAATTAGTCAATTCCAAAATAAAGGAGGTTCAGTTTTATAATGTGTGTTTGGGCAGAATTTATATTTCAGTCTGTTGTTGATGGTTTCTCAATGGACCAAAACATTTCGTAAATTAACTAATTATCATACGTTAATCTAAGTTGCAAAACTAAGAAGACAAGGAGTAAATTTGATTTTGGTAATCATTTTGATATTCAATAATATTGTTCAATCTATCAATCATGCTGATGACTCAATTTCAATTATTTCAAGCCTCCCGTTTTAAATATCTATTCACTTACTTGCACCGACTAATGTTGATGAGGGAAGAACAGAACTAAGAGCAGCACAAGTACATGTATTGTGAAAAGGAATTCTGTTTGATATACATGAAATATGCAGTAATGTCGTATTTTCACCCTTGAGTACAACATTTGGCAATACTGCCTCAGCTCTTACGACTGAGTTCAAGAGAAATGTCCTTATTTTGGTTTGGGTACGTGTGACTAATCTTTTCAAAGCTTCTTAAATAGACTTTTCCCATAAAACCCATAAATCAAAATCCATTGTTATCATGAAAATATATATTAAAGATTATTATAAGGCTACAAATTAGTGTCCTTTGATCTATCTGCACAACTCTTACCAAAAGCCCGGAGAGGTGCAGTATAGTACAAGTATAATGCGTCTTTAAATACAAAACCATTCTTTACACACAGAACTATGAGCCGGCTTCATTTCCATCCACATAATTGCATGTACATTTCAATCTAAACTTCAAACATCCAAAATGCCCTCATCCCGGGAGCAGTCACCAGGTACGACCTCAGAATCCGACAACAATCGAAGAGGACAAGGACAGCAGGTAGTGCAAAAAGCGAACGTCATAAATAAGTGAGAGGTGTAACTGCCTGTCAGGCTTAAATCTATTGAAGCATGCAAAAAAAAGAAAAAAGAGGAATATTTTGCATGCACCAGACGCCCACACTATTGTCCCATAAACTTTACAAAGTATAAGGGAGCTATACTCTCACTAAACCTGTGCAGCTTAATGCCATGTATCAAATCCATTATATTCCATTAAAGATACAAGCCATCGACCCACCTACATTAATATTTCACCTGACGACCCATTTATTGTGAGCTGAGGCAGGGAAGCGACTTACATTACGATGTAAAAATCCCAGTGCAGATCCTGTTCTCCTGTATAAGCGCGTTGTTTTCCATCGGGAACAAAGCAGTGACGGTGGACCCTTCCAAATCCAAGCTTGTAATGCATCAGTAAAGCACCATAATTGAGTAGACTTTACAGGTATAAAGATGGACTCCAGTCTTCTAAGCCTTTTTGCGATTACTGTTTAACTGGCCTGATGCACACCACAGAGGAATGCTAATGCACCAGCCAACTTTTTATTCATCTTCCAAATTATAATGTCACACGCCATGGGCCCCGCAGATGTGTTTTTGTAGGTAAATTGTTCGGGATATTGTTGCATTTCATTGGCCACCTATCCTGCTTATATTATAATCAGTAAAATACATACATACACATACAGAGTGTAGCAAGTGTAGCTTACTGGGTTAGGGTTAGGGTCAAGGTCCAAATCACTGAATGAATGATATAGGCTTGACGCATCAACAATTGTGGGAGAAAAATATAGAGCAATTATTCAAAATAAATGCCCTGGTGGTATAAACTTGAAATCAGTCTAATGCCACAAGACAAGATTACAAAAAGAAAGAGAGTGTTTCTCTAAAAATCCAAAATATATGTGCATCAAACTGTTCAATTATATTTATGCATGAACTGCCCTAAATCACAGCAGCAGTTATCGTGAAGGACTTAACAAAACCACTGATTTTTCCAACACAGATCAGAGAATCAAACAGTTCAAACACAAGAAATGTAAAAACAGCCATTGGTCCATAAATGTTGAGAATGTAGAATGTTGAGTGTCCATTGTCCATTTTGTAAGACCTTCACAACAGACCCTCCTGCATCGGCAAAGAAAAACTCTAAAGCCCAGTGGGAAAAGAAGAGAAACCTCGGGATTCGGGATGGTCCACATTGAGAGAGAGAGAGATCCACTCACATGGACAGGCGGGCTATAGATCCAGGACTTAGGACACAGACCGAAGCAAGGAACAAGTTAGGTGTATTTAAGTTGAAACATATGTAACCCCTGCTCCGACCACGCTTAAGCACAAGGAGCAATAACTACCATTAGCTCGAACTGTTCCGGCATATTCTATTGAGCATTAATTATCATGTAAGTACCTTAAGTGGTGTAGTAATTACACTGTAAACCCTGACAAGTAAAGTTTACTTGAAAAAACAATGGAAATAAATTGCGTATTAACTTCACTTGAATTCCTCGAGTACATCTTTTACTTGATATTACCAAGTAACTCAAGTGATTGAAATAACGTTTAAATTTCTACGACCGGGATTCGTACTCAGAACACTGTAGTTGAGAGGTAATGGTGCTACCCACTCAGCCATTGTCACACCTGCCTCATTTAAGAGTCTACATGTCAAAATGTCAAAAGTGAGGCTTACTTGAACAGAAACAGTTCAATTCAAAGAAAACCCTGAGTGACATACTGTATAGGCAAGCTTTAAATAAACTAACAATAAATGAGTAATATCTACTTACTGGGAAAAATCTATTTAAAATAACTTTGATATCTGAAGTAAGATTGAAGTTAGGGTTTACAGTGTATTGTGACAGGTTTACTTTGAATTAGTACACACTACAAAGGACAGGAAGTCATGCACCAGCACCACACGTACTGCACAAGGATGTGCTGCTGAGCCAAAGGCAACAAAGAAACTGAGGAAAGATAATTGAATACAATATTATACGTGCGTAATAGCTCTTGACCTTGTGCCCATGATGTAGAAATCGCTGCTGAAACTAACTTTTCTTTTCCTTCCTGATTTGTGTTCCACATTAAAACACGGTCCGGATGTTGACAAATTGTGACCTTTATTCGCAACAATAGTATCGTCAAAAATAGTCACACAAATAACACATTGTATCACCTGCGTATACTAGATATAGGCTTGTTTGAGGTTCTGGAGGAAGTGTGGCATTTATGTTCCATCCAATACTCTGACTCAAACAGGATTAAACCTGGAATTAATCGTGCTTAAAGCAGTAGGCTACTAAGTAACTGTGGATTTGTGGAGCTGGAGGTCATCGAGCACATGATAGGAGCAGATTTAGAGGGACACTCATAGTCATAAGCAATTATACTGTACATGGGGGAGTGTTGTTTGGAATGGACTTTTATGATTAGCTTGTGCACTGTCGAAAACATCTTAGAAGTGTGAGTGGACTTGAGTAACGATTTTTATGATGTGACACTTCATTTGATACCATGGAGTGCTGTGAATTGACGAAACTAGAAGATTTTCCCCAATGATTTTTGGATGGATGAAAAATAGGCCAACAACACATCTCACTTGTGTCTTTTGGGGAAGTGTCTTTTTGTTTTCTTATCAATATTTGCATGAAAGAATTGCAATTTAACAAGTTAAAGCTGAAGTACTTAACTTTCAAAGCACAAGATTGTAACACAATTTAAGTTTTTAGCTCTAAAAAAACATATTTGGTTTGATTTCACAAGCATATTCTGTCAGCGTCAAACAGTGACATACAGGATTCTTACAAAAACAATGATTTGCTCACATTATTTTTGTTTTTTTTATTTCAGTGTTGGGACAAATAAAGTATAAACTATTATTTATGACACTGAGCAGACACCCTCTTGAACTCTCACTCTGTTGTTGTGTCTTAGAGCGTTAAAGGCACTTGAACGTAATATAATGTAATACATGTATACACTACCAATAGCAGCTTTGTACAGTCTACACACATATTTACGTGTGTAGTAAATATCATCCAATACTTGCGCTTGTGCATAATGTTGCGCTGTTCCTGGCTGAATAAAGTTGAATCTAACCTAATCCGAACAGACAAGATACAGGCACCTAGACTTAAATCATTCCACACACACCCAGGTACACGTGCAATCAAGCAGCTCACACGTTCAACAGCGCAGATTTGCAGCCAGGGGGCGACACTGAGCGGCTTGATCTCGTTGCAGGTGCATTCAGGTCTTTCCTTCTGAGCAGAGCGCCGGGACCAGCACCAGCAACGCGCGTCTGTCTCTATACAGACACATGCTCTGCCTTACGCGCGTCTTTTGTCCTCGCTGCTGAAGTGGATGTCAGACCTGCTTTAGTGACATGAAGACAAGAATCCTTTTGAGCTGGTTTTTTTTGTTTCCCAACCAATTTTCTCTCGTTGTGATGAGGTAAAAGTCCCGGGCGCGCACTAATTGCAACCCAAAAAGACAATTAACGCGCGGCAGAGAATTGGGGACAGACGGCAGCGTTTTATGGAGAGAACTTAGTTTGAAGATCAAGTCAAGTGAATGTTGCGCCATGGGGATAAGGAAGAGACTTGGAGCCATGCTGATGTTAATGTGGATTATTCAAGGTAAGCTCATTAAACTCCTCAGCGTAATTAAGCCGCAAGTCGCGTGAAAATCAGCTGTCAACATGCGCCTGCTCTAGTGGGGTCCTGGCCTCTTTATTACAAACTTTTAAAAGCCTTATACACTTCTTGTTATTACCATTATCTGTCTGGACATAATCTGTACACGGGGCGACAGTAGCTCAGTTGGTAGAGCATTGGCCTTAAGGCCAGAAGGTCGTGGGTTCAATTCCCACCTCTGCACCTTCTCCACCGACTCCCACTGATGACTGCTGTCGTTGTGTCCTTGGGCAAGACACTTAACCCCACTTTGCCCAAAGCTCCCACTGAAAGATCAAGGCTATGCTCACACTCAGAGAGCAGCCGTCCTCCTGTGGACTCACCACCTGCAGAGGGTCAGTGAGGGGCTGGTGCTATGAGACTTGGGTGGCAGCTCTGACTGCCACCCCCCTGACCCAGAAATGGATTAAAGGGTAGAAAATGGATGGATGGATGGATGGACATAATCTGTACACTATATCTTGGCTGTTTATTGGCTGTATAGTTTGTGTATTGCATATAATTGTAAGTGTGCATTTGTTTTTTTGGTTGAGGTCTCCATGAAAAGTGATGGATTGTCCTTTTGGTAAATTATGTAGGCTACACACATGGTTGAATGCCCTGCAACGCTGGAAAGTAAAATGTTACGCCTTTCTGGTTTATTTTGAAGGTTACTTGGCGCTTGTGAGGGTTCTACCTGAAAGAGCAGTATGTCCTTTTGCCTCAGAAAGCTCTCATGTGAGATTTGGGATGTGGGTCATGAAACTATTAAGGTCACATAGAAAAGCACATGTTATATTAATTGTGCCCCTGCTCACGTTGTCGTATTGCTGAATAAACTTTAAAATAAACTGAGATTCCAATTGCCTCCATGTGTCACCTCCTCACCCTCCGCGGATACAATCTAAATACCCAATGACATCACAGCCTGCTTGTCTAATGTTTGGGTTAAATGCAGTTAATTTGTGCCTTTCCGATTGCCACATTCTCTATTTAGTCGCACAGCAATTTCCAAAGCCCCTTAGGCTTGTCTGAATTGGCCAATCTTGTAGCTGTCAACTGTGCTCCTGCCTCACTTCTTCACAGATGTTGGTTTTCCTCTAGTGCAGAAATCAAAGATAGTTTCAAACCATATCTTAATGTCAGAATCGCTTTGGTTCAACTAAATGCCATCCAAAGACAAAAGGAATTCTGTGTCCTTTTGGAAACCTTACTTTGAATTCGTAATTCACTCAGAAGAACTGTCAACTGAAAAGTGCATCTTTTAGTAGATGTGGGGTCAATATTGGTCACAAATGTCTTGATTTACACTCACAAAGCAGTAGGGTTGTCACAAATAAGTCAATTTGCTAAGTATACTAAACAATTACAATTACACAAGCAGCAGTATTTTTGCAAAACAATAAAGCATTTTTAAAGCATAAAAGTGTTCTCTTGAATAGGAAAATACAGTTTATTTTTCAGAAAAGAGCATTTATAAATAATTGCTGTGTTATCAAAATTAGAATTGAGTATTTTTTCTTTACAGTCCATCATGATGATCAAATAATACACAAGCTTGAAAGCTTATACATGTTTCGTATAAGCTTTAGACAGATTCATATTTTCAGGGGCTTCAGAGGCTTCAGGTATCAATTCATTGAAAGTATTGATATTTGTAGCAGAAATAATTCAAATAAGAAAAATAGGTGAATCCTTTTCCGTCATTAACAAATGGATAGAAGCATTTTGTCACTGATGTGATCTGTTGGGTCTTGGAACTGACACATGTTGACTCGGTTATTGAGGCCACTGGCTTCATATCTCCTCTGCTGGTGTTTGGCAGTGGCAGTGGTGACATTTATTGTCCTCAGATTGTTGACATTGGAGGGCTGGTGTGTAATGAGCTGCTGTTTGCACGCTGCTTTAGCCCTCTCACGAAATAACTCTGAGCTTATGATAATTCTGATTATGTATTGCACGATTAGCCAAACGAGATCTGAGACGGGGCGGCCAGGCCAGATACTCACCCATGCACAGATCCCAGCAGGATGCATGGATTCTATCAGGACGGCTAAAAGCTTACCCAGGGAAGTGACAATAGCCTCGCCTGCTGATCTGAGTCATGTGCAAAACATTAAATGCAACTCTATAACTCTAAGGGTTTCTAGCGGTTTGTTTAGTGTCCTCTTTCAGACTAAAGGATACATCATATAAAGTATAGAGTTGTCGGTACATACAGAACATGACAGATCAGCCCCCCCACTGTGCTCACCTGCTGGGTCGGCTCCACCAGGGAAGGTCACTTTGATGTTACAGCTGGTTAATTTATGTCACTCCTGCTTAAATACACTGCATTTGTCAACAATAAAAACATATATCATTTCAAAGTAATTAGCTCATCGATTATACAATTGTTTTTTTTCATATAATCACTCAAAATGTAAATATGCAGTTGTATCACACTGAAACAAGCTTATTTAGAAAAAACATCAAATTAATTAAAAGCATTTATTATGCAGAAATGCAAAAATGTATCTATTTTAACTTGGAATCAGACTTTTTTTCCCAAAACATATAGTTAAATCTATTTAAGGATGTTCTGTGGAAGAAATAGAATAACATAATTGATTGAATAGCAATGACAGCAATGTCCTATAATGTCTGTGAATCCTTTATTCGTCCCACAGCGGGGAACTTTCAGTGTTGCATTATAAGTTACAGAACAGAAGGAATTAGGAGCACACACAGCACAAGATATGCTTAAAGAAATGAAAAAAATATCTTTCGCTTTTGTTAGTATTAGATAGCAATATGGCCTACGTGCAGGACTCTACAAGGACTCTGATTATTTTGACTATGATGTGACTGTCTCTGTGTGACACGTATGTCTTTCCATGTGTGACGTGACAATGACTATATAAACTGTGTACTGACTTTATTCTGTCTGAGAGAAGGAAACAATGGAAACCACTGGAACTTGAGAGAAACTTAAATAAACTTCCATAGTTTGGCGCACCACGATCCGTCTCTGTCTGGTTCATTCCTGACACTTTATGAAGAAGCAAAGTATAAAACCCTTTAGGACCTTTAGGACTTGTATGTATACATGTGTAGAATCTGTAGAAATCATTCAAATCTCAAATTCAACAGATAGATGCTGCTTTTATCACAGCTGCTTTTGTTTCCTAATGATTTCTGAAATGACGTTTATATTCCACAGCAGGCCGTTCTGCTACATTGCACACAGTTAACTGGATGTTGTCTTTACGTATATACCTACAGTAACAAGGGAGTGGTCACAACCGATAAACCTCAACCTTCAGTGCGCAGCAGAAAAAAGCCCTGGGTCCACATCTTGTTTGTGACTTTATTGAGTTGCGTTTGTTTTGCGAGAGCAGGTTCCGACCCGTTCTGTACCAGCGCTTTCATGGCCCATTGCGCCTGTTTGGCCTGACCGTGCGCACCTTGTCCTGGTCTTTAATGAGGAGGTCTAATTGAGCGACCAGGCCTGAGCAGACCCCCGCGGAGGTTACACACTCAAACTGACGGCACCGTGCCCTTTGGATACTAACGGTTTTCTCATGTAAAAACTGGGTCATAGTAATAATTGGCCTCACTGTACATAGCGGACACTGTAGCTTTTACTGTACTGTTTGTTTTTGAATGGATACGCATTAAAGGGGGGGTACCTCATTTTGAAACCACAACAATTTAACGATGTATTACAAGCCAAATAACTAGTCACATGTAGGTCAGAGATTCTATACTTCATTCTTGCTTCCTTTTTATGCGGAGAATTTAGACTTGCTTCTTTATCACGCTAAAGCTAGAGATTTTAGACTTCTTGATTATGATGCTAAAGTCTATATTCTTTTAGTATAGAGATATTGTTCATGCATCTTTTCCTGCATGCTTCTCATTCCTACTGTTCTGTAACTATGACAACACTGACATTTCCCCGCTGTGGGAGGAATAAAGGATCTGTTAATCTTAATGTATTTCAGAGAAAAAGAGCGTGCCAACCCTCACTCAGCCAATCAGCTCTCAGTATTTTAGATATAACATGTTTTCTAATAACAGCAAGATGTAGTTTTAATTTTTTACTACATTTTCTTCAAACATTAGTCTTTGTATTGGGACTAAAGACTACTACTATACTAACCCCAATCCTAAAAAACATGTTTTTATGGCACCAAAAACATTCTTGGATCTCCAGCTTCTGTTTTGATGACGGATGCTGTTCAACTCTCAAATTTAAGAGAAAACTGAAATGGGAAAAAATCTATTTACCTGAAGTAAACAAAACACTTCAGTTCAAACTTTTGAAAAAACAAAAACGTTTCCGCTTGTGATACATGTTGTGAACATTGATGCTTGAAAATCTGTAATTTATTGAAATATCTTCATGAAAAAGAAGGTTTAAGCAACACAGATCTGTGGAGAGGCTTTAGTGGAGATTTTATACTTAATTTCTGCTTCTTCTTCTGCTATAGTTGGAGATTTTAGATTTGCTTCTTTGATGTTATACTTGTTTTTTATTTTATTTTAGTATATCAATATTTTTCATTTATCTTGTGTTGTGTGCTCCTCATTTATACTATTTTGTAATCGGTGATGCAACACTGAAATTTCCCCACTGTGGGACAAATAAAGCATCTCTTAACTTGCCTCTGCCTAAAAAGTCACATTCTGTAGTAAATAGTAAACACAATTGAGTTTTAAATGTCATGTCTTTTCACTACAGACGAATGAAAACTAGAAAGAAAGTAATTCCGTATAAAGTTTAAAGAAATATGATTTAAAAATAAAGAATATGGTCATTCCCGTGTTCCCAGATCCGTCAGCGTTTTGCTTTGAGAGCCGTTTCCTTTGAAGTCCCAAACCTCGCTCTTAGTGCATCAACAGCACATATTTTCTTTCCCTTTAATCTTTCTGAACCAGCCATGTTTTTAGGAGTCCCACATTATTTACCTTTTTAAATT